TATTTCCATTTTAAGCATTGTCAATGTAACAAGCATGCAGCTGAGTTTCAGAAAGAATGCCTGAATGTGAGGTTGTTTGGGCAGTGGTAAAAATACTGGGAGAGAATTAATGGAAACAGAAATGAAGTTAAAAACACACTTTGCCTTAGGGATAAAATTTTCAAAGCATTCTGGGTACTTGAATGTCCAATTCCCATTCGAGTTAATGACTAAAGTTCTTTCCTTTTTTGAGCTTTAATTTTTGGGTGCGTGCTCAAGACTTAAACTCTGAACAAATACGAAGATGCTGTTTCAAGCAGCTTGCAGCAGAGACTCTGCTTTCCCACCCACGTGTAGTCAGGTGGGTCAGCTCATATATTCAAACTCCTCCATCGCTTGGGGAAGGCATGAAGTGTTTGTACTGGCACGTTTGGCAGGTTGGAAAGCCAAAGGCCATAGGCAGTAATGTGAAGGCTGTGGTGGGAGCCTGCTGTGATATAGAACTCATTGTCAGTGCAGTGTTTTGCTCAAGAGTGTCCTTAGATGTAAACCAGTATCTGAGTCAGAGGAAAGTAGCGAATGCTTCTAGAACATGTTTTGGTGTTTCTTTTTCAGAGAAAACAGGTGCAAAGTGACCTCTTGTTTCCCCCCCTGCACTGTGGTCCGGTGGGAGCATTCTTGCTGAACGCTGTCATGCTTCTTGTCTTGCGGGTTTTTTTTTTTCCTTGAAGAATGCTAAAGCCATGTGGAATTTATTGTTTCCTAATGCAATCCCTAACTGGAAGGGTGAGAAGACTGCAAAAATGAACAGAGGAGACTATGTATGTTGAAACTGAAAGCTGAAACAGCAGCTCAGGAGCCATCTTCCAGCCGATGACTGAACCTGCAGAGCTGTAGTGAGTGGCACACTTTACCTGCTAAACCTGGATCCACCGCTGGCAGGGATGGTGTGCTTTGTGCTGAAACCAAGTGCTGCTCTCATTAGACTGCTCCTGGTTGTAGAGCCAAGTTCCTTCAGAGCAGGGACAGAGAAATCCCCACGAGCTGCACTATTGCTTCATTTTGAAAGGTAGATGCTTCCCCAGCCACCAGCCTCTTCTGGCTTCAGTGGGACACTGATACCTTTATTGATCTCTGTGTTTGAAAATCTTCATTGAGTTTTACAGTTTGAGTACGAGAAGCTTCTTGCACCTGATGCTACAAGTACTTGAGTTAACCAAAGCACTAGCTAATTTACTGATGACATTGCCCCCCTCATGAGACTTCTTTGTTTGCTGGGATTAGTTACTATGAAGAGCTATTTTTCAGCTGTAAATGATTCTGGAGTTCAGTGCCAACAGAAATGAAACATAGTACTGGGGTCTGGGAATCTTTTGAAGAACTTACTTTTCTAGCAGTCTGCTTCTGAGAGATCTTTTGTGGGAGGCAGTCTGTGATGGAGAAGGGTGAAAATGCAATTTTTAAGGATATTAAAACTAGACCAAATTTGCTGCGGAATAGTTGAGATTTTTTTTAACTCTCCACATTCCATGTGTTAATGCACTTTTGTAATGAAATTTGGAAATACTAAAGCAAATTTAAAATAATATCTTTTCAATATTGACTGTTTGAAGGCATGATATTGTTGTTAATTGCTCTCAAAAATCTCTTTTTTAAAGTTCTGGTTTTGCACTGATTGCATGCATCCCTGGATTTTGGGATTCCATTAATTAAAGGTTATGCTTTACAATTAAAGCATTCTGTGTACTCTGTCATCCCAGCAATTCACTGGCTGTAACACAGAGCCTTTGCCTGCCTTCAGCTTGCTGAGCAGATCCATGAAACAAGGAGGACCATCTGTGTTGGGTCTCTCTGGCTGCACTGCCTTTCCTTGGGATTCTTGTGCTCATCAAGTGATAGTGTTGCTACTTTTAATGACTATTTTCATCCTTAACACAAAAAAGAGAAGGGTTAATGGAATACTTGACCCCAGTGTAACACACTGTTGTGGGGCGTTGGCTGCTTAGTGAAATGGCACTTGGGCCAAAACTGTTCCATGCCTGGCAAAGGACAGAAACTCTTCTCTTTAGCAAACTTTTCATCTTGTCTTGCTTCTTTATAGCAGAGGTCACTGCTTGTAGTTTATCTGATTTGAGATTCTGGTTGCAGCTCAGCTCAGGACAAGTGTCTCTGCTTACTTTATAAATTGAAAGTAAGCATCTTCATACAGCTGGTCTATCTGACAGTTGCACCACGGTGTGTTTGCCTGTCCACTGTACATCATGCAGTTTTCTTTCACCAAACTTGACATAGTGAGGCCACTGAAACAGTCCAGCAGATCCATCTATGGGATAACAGACCAAACTAAGGTAGCTACCTGGAGCCATTTTCAGGATTTTATTCATACTCTGACCTAAATGATGTTTTGAGAATTGAGTCAGGGTGGTGGTGATGGTGGTGGAAGAGGTTTGGACAAGCCACCACCAAGACAACCTTTCCACGGTGAACCTGCTCTATCTTTCTGTGCTGTTAGCAGTCCGAATTACCTTGAAAGGCAGGATCTCCTTGAAAGGCATTCTTTCCTGTGGGAAACCGTGACCTTTTCTCTTTGTATGGGGTTGCAGTAGGTCACTAAGTTAGTTTTTTGCTACTGGGATGGTATATCTGATAAGGGTGGCTTAATTTGCTTACAGGGATTGGGGGAGTGGATTTCCCTCCCTGAGATTTTTCTTCTCAAAGTTGAGTGTGTGAATGCATGTAAACTTGTGAGTAATGGGCTGTCTTGTAGGTATTTATTTTCTATGCATGTGTTTATGTTAAATAATGTAAACTGTGGAAGACTAGGGTGTGAGATAGCTATAAGAACTATTTATCAGAAATCCTAAAAGGGCCATGTTTGCACTACTTTCTGGACACCAGCATAATCTGAGAGATTCAGAGGTTGTATGTTTGAAGCAGAGCAGAAGGTGCCTCGTGATCCTGGCATTGTGTTCCAGCCAGCACACCATGTTCCTTCCTGACCTGTGCCCTCTGGGAGGAGGAGAAGTCCGTGGTGTTACCCGTGTCATCTTTGTGTTCTTCCAGTTGTGAAATTGTCTGAAATAAGGATTTGTCTATATGTAAATATGTACTGGCTTAGTCCATGTCTTTGCTTTCTGCAGAATATGTACATCCTCTTTTTGAGTGAATGATGTTACATTGGTTTAAGGGTGATTGATATTTCTGGAAGTCAGTCTTCTATTCTGTGTAGTTTGATTTTTTTTTTTTTTTTTTTTTTTTTTTTTCTCCCCCCCCAATAGCCTTTAACCGCTTCTTTTTAGTTCCTGGGGAATGGAGCTTAGAAGTTCTTTACTATTTTTGTCACTTTATCCTATTGCCCTTTTGCTGTTCTCCTCCCAGTGCATCTAATTGACTAAAACTGATGTAATTTAAAGTGAAGCCTGGACTGGTTTGGCTGAATTGGCTTAAAATGGTACCTTATGCCAAACCAGAGCAAATATGCAGATGCACAAACACTGTGTGTCGTCTTCCATGCATATTACCTGCTGTCTTAACTAGCTTCTTGCTAGGGTTTTTCAAAGTTCCTCCTCTTACATATAGTTTCTGTCTCTCCCCTTCAAAATACAGCTAAAGCAGTTTTGTAGCAGCTTCTGTGTACATGACTGGTTTGTTCAATGCTGGAAGAATCTCTTCTGATATTGATCTAACTTACTGTCAGAGCCAGATATGCTACAAAGCAGAAAGTGGTATTTGCTTAAAAGTGACATATTCCTAAACTAGGCTTCATAGTAGTTTTCTGTTATTTTTCTACTATGTGCAGCTAAGGAAGTAGGCTTGCGTTGCTTTGATAACATTAAATGATAGCTCTACAAGCTGAAAGTCACAAGCACAAATCTTTGGCAGATAGAAAGAAGCATCGCTTCTGTCAGAAGCTTTGATTGTGGCAGCTAAGCATCTGACCCAAATCTATTGCTGTGTACAACTTTTTTGGAATATGTTGCAAATCTAACCATTGTGCTGTAGATGTACAAATTTATTCTTCATTTTCCACGTAAACCATAATGGAACCTGATGCCATATAAACCAGACTGATAATAAAAACCTTGTTTATAATGTATTTCTGTCAGGATAAGTATTCAGTGTATCACAATTCAAGTATTTTTCGAGTCTTGGAGAAACATTGACTTCTGAAATGCTGTGGAATGGATGATGATGGAATTTGAGTATTGTTGAAGTAACCAAATTTTAAAAAATAAGGTAATTTTAGGTTAAATCTGCAGATAGTAATAAACGGGCTTGGATAATTAATTTGGATTTAGAGTTGCTTAATTTCTCTTGGCATTTGCAAATCCCAAACTGACTTGTGGAATGTTCTTGATTGAAAAAGATTTTATTGAAAACATGTGTGACTGTTTCTGAGGGCAACAATATTTGAAGAACAAAGTATCAACTATATAAGTGGAGGTGGAGAAAAAAACTTACTGTAAACATAGCTAATGTAACTTTTTGCATCATCATTTGTTAGTATGTTTCTGATTTAGAACAAAACAGGCTATAGGGGAAGTCAATTCTGTTCTGTAAAAAGATTATTAGCTGTTCTAAATGATACTTTAAATTCATAACACTGACAAAGCTGGAGTCTAAATCTATATTTTTAAGATGAAAATCAGAATTATTAATTAGGAGTAGACCCTAAATTCATGGAACTCCTATTAACTCTTCGGAGTAGAGTAAAATACTGGCAAGAGTATCTATTTCTTATCTTTTGTCTAAGTCTTTATGTTAGAAGATGGTATTCAGTAGAATTGCCAGGATTTCTGAAATGAAACTGATTCAGAAATGAAGAATGAAGAATGTTACTGAGTTGGTCTCATCTTAAGACAGATTTCTGTTGATTAAAAACCTGTGTCACTGCAAAAATGTCTAACTGTGGTAATGGAAAATATTAGTAACACTTTCTTTATGGTGATATGCACTTTGGAAATTATTTTTAGTAATATCTGTGTTTAATGGGACTAAACTATTTTTTTGATTCATTGCAGGACCAGTTTGACAACTTAGAAAAACACACGCAATGGGGTATTGAAGTTCTGGAAAAGTACATCAAGTTTGTAAAAGAAAGAACAGAGATTGAACTCAGCTATGCAAAGCAGCTTAGGTAAGTTGATATGTAAAGTCCTGGACTTTGAGTTGCATCTGTTCAGAGCCTGTAATCATCTGTAAGTTTACTGTTTCAGTGCTGGTAGTTCTGTTTATAATAATGACTTATAGGGAATAGCTTTAGTTTAGAGAATGGAAAGCTAAAGTTCATTTAAGATACTGTTTTATCTCTGCTAAAAATCACATGTTTTGCAAAAAGAAAGGTTACTTAGGTGACTGAGTAGCATACTAGGGCTTACTCACAATTTTTGCATGATTAATGGCTCAGGCTTTGAGGATAGCATTGTAATGTTTTCCATGAAATTAGGACTGCTGCGTGTAAATGCTGAAGGGCTTAAGAATTCAGCAGAAAAATGATCATTTGTTGTAAGACAAAGTTTAGGGTTTCTTTTCATAAGACAGGCTCTTTTTGAATGCGTGTTAGAGAAACTGCAGGACAGAAAGTCAGTCTCAGCACTTGGAAATTTTGTCTCTGTAGTTAGCCAGGTTGCAGCCTGAGATTTGAATTCTGACAGTATTATAATCTTGCCACTGTTATTGCGATGTGTCTCCTGAACAGAGTAGAGATCCTGTGAATTTATCTCAAGTAGCTAAATTACTGGAAATTCCTGATGGGTACTTTTCTACATACCTGGTTCAACCATCAGGTTGTAGATTGTAGGTAGAGACAAGTGTATGTGAACCAGACCCAGAAAACATATTCCCTGAGGTCAGTGGGGAAGGGGTACTGAGAATCTTCCAACAATGAGTAGCTCTTACCCTGCTTCTTTCAGTAGGGTAGAAAAAAATGAGAAGTGAACAGGGGTTAGAAGGGAGTACAACATACAGACAGTCCTGCTGCTGCTGAGAGGCTGTGGTACAATATTGTTGGCAGTCACTAGTTTCCAGGGTAATAAACTGGAGATGGTGGAGCTGTGGAGGGGAGTGGAGGGCTTCCTAACCCCTCCAGTAAATCCATACCTTTTTTTGCATGACTATAATAAGTATTGGAATTCCTTCCATCTTCTCAGTGTCTATAGATACTGAGATCTGAGGTTCTAATGGATCTTTATATATCTAAAGCACAATGTCTATTAAAAAAAAAAAAATTACCCAGAATTTTTGATGCTTGTGTTAGAATGGATTTGTGTTGCACGACCAATGGCCTGTTCTTCACGAGGCACTGGCAGTTGATAAACCCCTGCCTTTATGGTTATGTGCTTTCTCAGGGGAATGCCACAAGGATTCCCCAGGGTTTCTGCTATAGAAGAGCAGGAAACAGAACATGTCTTTTGCAGGAACAAATTGCTCACATCCTATGGAGATGAGAAGAGATTGAATTACAGAGGCGAAATGAGCTGGAAGAAGGAGAGTATGACTGGACTGGAAAACCCCAGCAGAGTATCTGTGTAGGCAGGCCAGTTTTATGAAGAATCACATACTAGACTCAGTGAATTTCATAGGATGAGAAATTTCAGGTGTAAAGAGTGTAATTATGAAAATAAACACATAAACAAAATTTTTAAGGATTTTGGGAGATCATTTTACTTGTGACTGTCTAGAAATTCTGAACTCCTGTTCTGTCCTAGACTTTACAACAAAGTTGGTCAATTTGTTTCTTCTCTCTGTATTTTAATTCCTCATGCTTAGGTACATTTGCCCATGTCCCCACTGCTCCAGGTTATGATTTGAGGACAGATATATTCATCCCTGAGGAACTCTTAAACACACTGCTGTTCGGAGTCATCTTAGAATTTAGAGCTACAAAAGAAAAAACAAAAATGTAGGCTTGTCAAATGTTGAGATAAAACAGTGCTGGACATTAAAAGCAGATGCGTGATTTTTTTTTTTTTTTTTAAAAATAAATGTCCTCAAGCCTGGTGCAAACCTTTCTTGTATCACATCTATTTGGTGTGAAAGGGCTGCAGCTTATCACTGCATGTCATAACATGCAGACGTACTATTAAAAAAGGACAAGTTAACACAGGATACTCCTGTGGATTTAACTAAAAGTTTTATTTATAGTGTAAGTAAAGCTGCTGAACTTTATTTCCTTCTGTGAAACTTGTGTTGTCTGCTTGGTCTTTGAGCTGCCTAGCTAGCTATTCTTCCTGTCTGACTTACATCTCAGCCTGGTCATCTGCTGAAGTTTAATTGGCTTCTATTTTAAAATGTTTCTGTCCTTCCTCTTTATAATTCAGCAGATATATACATAGGTGGTGGGTTGTTTTTTTAAAATATTAAGTTAGATCTACATACTTGCAGGAAGCATCACATTAATCTGGTTATGCTACTGGAAAAAACTCCCCAGTGTCCCACACCTTACATGTTGTGCCTACACTATTCAAGCCCTGCTCGTAGCATTTACAATCGATCCTGGTTTGAGAGTCCAGTTCAGATTTGACATGATTGTTTTCTTAGTTGTTTTACATTATAATTGTTTGGTCTTTAGACTAGAAAGGAGGTGTTGCAGAAATTATGGTAGAGTGTTCACTTGTTTCTCTGTGTTTTGTTTTGATCTTCCCTTGGATGTTGACATGTTGAACAAAGTGGTGTTTTGTTGTCCTCCTTCCCTAGTCACTGCTTACCTAACGGCACACGCGCTTTGAGCATCACCGTGTGTCAAAAGCATTGCCTAATGTGACAATGGATAGATGGCCTTGAGGAATACGTACTGGAAAAAAATGCTTAAGATATCGGGATAATCTGAGAATCAGGAACCTCTGATGGATGATAAATGTGAGAGAAAGAGCAAGATGTCAAAAAAGTGGAGATAAGGGAGTGAAGAAACAAGCTGGAAAGACAGAAAAAATGATACAGAGTGAGAGGCAAATAGAAACATGAATTGGAGACAAGCTCACAGGATCTTTCCAGAATTACTATTTCATTGCTGGTCTTTGTTCTTACGTATTAGTTCCCTCTTCAATCCCTGTTAGCTGTCATTGCTTCATGACCTTGAACCTGGGAAGTGCTGGTGTTCTGGTCATGACATTGCATGATTGCATGCTGAACTTCAGCAACACTTCTGGATTCAATATCACTTCTGGGTTTTTTGTGTGCAGCCTGGTTAAAACCCTATGTAAGCTTTTGATTAAAAAAAACAAGGAGGGGACGGAATCTAAAACTTCAAATATATAGACTACAGTTTATGTGTTCTGTAAAGTACATAGAAAATAATAAAATGTTTAATCCCGATGCTAATCCTTGTTACGTGCTTTCATAATATTTTTTTTTTCTGTGAAAGCATACTGGCTGGATTTTTTTTGCCCCAGCTCCAAAGCATTTCTACACCTTTAAAGATTCTCAAGAAGTTAGTAGCTGTGTATGTCAGAAATAATTGGGCAGCATGACAGTGCAGGGAGATGTGTATTTTGAGTGTGTGTGAAAATGCCTTATTAGTGTAGCTTTCTGTGCATGTTTTCTTGTGGTTTTTCCTTTCCTTTTAAGCAGGTGTGTGGAGGGAGGCTTTCCCATGCCATATGAAGAGTGCTGTCAGACTTACTGTAATCATGCAGAACAGTTTGCAGAATTCTTCCCATGCTGGTGTTCTTTGGTTGAAGCTGCTATATGCAGAACTAGAGAGTAGTTCATTGCCACAGAGCCTGTGCTTTTCAGAGAAGGCAGAGACTGGAAAGGAGATGCTCATTTGGAACCCTTCCAGTAGGGATACTTAAATTTTGAGAAACACATGTTTGTCTGTGCAAATCTGCCAGGGTTCTGGCTACTACTATGTTTGGGCAGATGCTTCTTAATTCCTTAAGGAGAACAAAAAGAATAAGAAATGTGAGACAAGAGGCTCTGCTGCCTCCCTGGTTAGCAGTAAAAACAGTGTGCAACAGGGAGTGGGTTACACCTCCAAAAAAGCAGTTTCTTTTCAGCTGGATGCGTTCTGGGAGTCCTCCAAAGAGTATATAGCACAGATAGGTCAATGGAACTTGGTAGTCCTTCAGATGACAATTCTATCAATACCACTTGTCTGTTATTCTTAATTGCTGAAACAACCTTGTAAAGCTAAAACAAATGGCTTCCATTTCACAGTCGGGTAACAGAGGCTGCAGGAAGGCATATAGTAATAGGGCTGAGTTTAGAATAGAGGAGACCCCAACACTGAAAAAGCCTTAAAATTGCTAAGTAAGATTTGTCAGCTTTCTGGTTTGCATCGTTTAAAGGATGCATGGTGTTGTATCGTGCAATACACATCATAACATGAGCTTTAAGTATTAGCAAGGTGCCTTGGGTTTCAGGTGGCCAGCACACATTTATTAAACCCTTGATTTGCTTCTGGCCAAGGGCTTGCAGTCAGTGCTTTCAGGACAATGAGAGATATATAATAATTGTCAAATGTGCTAACAGTTACATTCAGATACCTTATTCAGGACATGATACCTTGAACAGCATCTCAGTATTTTAAAATCAAAACTTTAGTTGGATGTGGAGTAATGAGAGATGCAATCATCTGTGCTAATTGGGATAATCAAATTTCACATTTCTCCCAGCATCAGATGATAATCATAAAATGATCCCCCTTTTATCTCAGTGCAACTTCCCGTGGCTTTATGAAGAATATTCTTTTCCTTGGAAGCACCCTGCTGAAGGCGAGCAGATTTGCCTGGCCAGGAGTGTCATGTGCTGCAGCAAATCGCACTTCAATGGGCTGGTGACCTTGGGCTGTGGAGTAGCACCTGCTACTGGGTAGAGTTTGTAAAGCACGCCTGTGTAGCTAAGGACCAGTGTTCTTACTGTAAAAGGGTCTCTCCTTTAGGTCAGGTGAAGGACACTTGTGCATAAACAGAACGAGAACTCAGGTGTACTAACTGACCTTAATTTATGAAATTTGTGAGTTCAGAATCTGCTACTTTATCACAACTGTAGGGACTGAAGCCATGTGCAGCCTTTTGTTTTAACTGCTACTACAATGCAATCAAAGCCTAATTACAGTCATACTTCTGAAAAGGTGTCTAGTCACTGCAAATAAAAACTGAAGACCCACAGAATGTATGGGCATGCAGAGATTATCCACTTAACTTAAAGGAGATTTTAAATTTAATGTTATGTATGTGTATTTTTAATTTTAGGAATCTTTCAAAGAAATACCAACCCAAAAAGAACTCCAAAGAAGAGGAAGAATACAGGTACGTTCATGATCCACTGCTGGGTGAGCATGTGTTGATGGAGGAAGGGGGGAAGTTTGGGCTACCAACTAGAATTTGATTTGTAAACCAAAGATTTTAAAGTCAAGTGTAAGAGTATAGAAATCATAGATGCAGAAGCAGGCTTATATGGTAGATACTAAGGAGTGGATTTTCAGAGTTTGGATTTGGTCTGTAACTACTCTGTTCCCTTTGTTTGTTATGGTTTCTGGATGCCTGGTTTGGGGTTTTTTTGTTTTGTTTTGTTTTTCATGTACCTTAAAAACTTTAAGCCAGACTGTATGATCTTAGCTCTTTGAAGTGAATGACCAAACTCTTTACTTTCAAGAGGAACAGAAACATTTGTTAATTTTAGCATGAAACTTAAGCAGTCTCTGTAAGTATTAAATTACTCAAATGGACTGACAACACAGATTAGTCATTTACTAAAGGGATAATGTTACACCACCACAGAGAAATCAGTGGCTCTTGAGCAAGGTGAAGGATGTCGTTTGTACTCCCAGTATCCTGGGGTGAACCGACGCCTGACTTGCTGCTGTTGAAGGATGTTGCGTGGCTTCAGCTGTCTGGCTGATTCACGTATTCAGACTGTATCTCCCCGGTGCCGGGGCACTAATGCAGCGCTCACAGCGAGCGAGCGACTGCAGCGTCAAAGCACAGCTCCTTCACCGAGGGACGCTGCGGACGTGGATGCAGGTGATGATAGACCTTCCTGCCCTTAATGAGCTTACAGATATTCTTTAAAGAGAACTTTCTAGAGGAGGAGCTTTTCAACAGACAGGCTATACCAGGGCGAGAACCTTTTTCCTTAGAGCACTCTGAAGTTTCTCAGTGTCAGCGTTTTGTAAAGCATTGGCTTTGAATTAAGGCATCGCAGAGTCTGACCCTGCAGCCTTGTGTTGCAGGAGGCTGCTCTGCCTCTGGAGAGCCTGGCAGCAGACTCAAACCCCTGACCTTGAAATTTGAAACATTTCAAATGAGTTTGGATACGGATCCAATTGTACGATTGTATTAATTTAGATTTTTGGGTCAGACCCGCAAGCTGCTGTATGCAGCTGCTCTAGTGGCTTGTATTAACAGAGCTAACAGCCTTTTCATTTTCTTTTAAATTTATTTTTAGTAACATTGGTTTGGAAATCAGTTATTTATGCCATTGTTTCCAGAGATACTGATATTTGCACAAGGAAGCTTATGTTACCAGCACATCAGCTGTACCCGGGATTAGGAATAAATCTGCCTTTGGGTAGCTATACCATAAATGGGTATTTTGAGTTCACTACAACCTTTTTTGACACATCTTTCATTGCTGGAAAAGGATAGTGGAGTTAAATGATTCATGTGCTGTGGCACAGAAGATCCTGCATATCCTTTGCCCTTTTAAATAATAGTGTTCACCTCAATATAGTTTCCTCATGTCCCTAAACAATGTCTGGGGATTTGACATGCAACCATTGGGTGCCTTGCACACTACTTTGAGACAGCCTGTCTAAAAATGATCTGTTTTCAAGCTTGTTGTCAGTTTGTGGTTCTGTAGCTTTGATCGCCTGTCTCTTACAACTGAGATTTCTGTCAAGGCACCACAGCTTGACTGTGAATGTGACTGCTTGTACTGGACTACATTTTTTAGTCTCCTTTTTTTAGTTTTATTTTTTCTGTTCTTTTTTCTGATATATTTTTCATCCCTATTTGTACCACTCCCCTCTATTTCATCTAGATCTCTCCTTCTTTGCTTTGCTTTTTCACCTTTAGGTGATGTTGTCGGTGAAGACCGCTACCATTTAATAATAGTTTTTCTAGCATGTACAAGTGCAGTGCTTCAGAGCTGCTGTTTTCCAGCTGACCAGCACAGCCAGCTGGGGTATTTAAATGCAGCTCTGTTGGCTCTGTGCTGAATATGCTAGTGACATAATCTGCTGTTTTGAAATTGTGTGCACAGATGTTGGTTTCTTCCTTTCAATAACACATGGAATGTTGCATAGGAGATTATTTCATACAAAAAATAAACCTTGTGATGAAAGGTACAACACATGGTTAGTAAAATCCCTACCTTTTGGAAAACTTTATGAAGTATAACTGATTTAAATCAAATTTACACTATAAAAAGCTTTCATTTCTGCACTATGCTAGCCAAAAAGTTGGTTGCTTGGACAGGATTTTGCCAGGTAGAGTATACAGATGATTCTGTGCACTAAATTGTAGGACTTGAAAGAGTATAACTAGAAATGTTGGGGAATGGAAATTAGAATAGTGATGTCCCAGAACCGTGCTGATAAAAAACCTGGCATTCTACATTTGTGATATTTTAAGAGCCAATGTCAAACTGTCTAGATTGAGATAAATTTATCAGATGACTGTCAGTGCGTGGGATAACTTCCTTTTGAGAAATTCCTTCAAGTGAATCTGTGCTAATCCGTATTCAGTCTCACGTAGCAATACTAAATGCTGAAGAAGAATACAACCTCCCTTTGCAGTGTGTCTTTCTGAAAAGAAAGGGGCTAAAAGCAAAATGCATTTTTGTCCTCTGCAGGTACACATCAACTAGAGCCTTCCTAGCCACTTTAAATGAAATGAATGACTATGCCGGACAGCATGAGGTCATTTCAGAGAACATGACCTCTCTTATCACTGGAGAGTTAACACGCTATGTGCAGGAGCTGAAACAAGAGAGGAAATCGGTAATTGATCATTTTTTATTATTCACAATTACTTGCTATTTAGGACAGGTAATTAGTGGTAGAGGAGTTCCATATTAAGCAAAATGTAGTTATACTTAATAAACATGAGCTTTGCTAATGAGCCAAGCATTAAAAAAGTGGGTTACATACCCTGACCAGGTCACTGAACTATTTGAATCAAATGTTATAAAATCAGACAGCAATACCTTGAGGAGAATCCCTGCTAAAAAAGGTCAGAGACCCATCTGTGCCTAAGGCTCTGTTAGCCAAAAGCTTGCTTAGGGAAGAGTCCAGCAGCACTGTGCAAAGCCTGGCATAAACACAGAAACTGTATTACTGACACTGATTGAAAGAATTAGTAGGATCTTGGTTCAAATTCTATTGCTTCTCAGCCAGATCAGGTCAACAGAATTTTCTAAAAAATTATTCCAGTTAGAAATATGGGGTCTGTCTTGTTTTGTGATGGTGGGTGGGGAATCTGGTTTTTTGACCTGTTATCCTTCAAGACTGGTAGAATTATGAGCTTTACATTAGTACCCTATTTTAGCTTAGTATTTTAGGAACCTATGCTACAGTAAATGTTTGAAGCTGTTTAGTTTGCACGTCACCAGCTCTGAAAGGTTTATAGTTGTGATTTTTCTTCCTTGCCTTGAACCTTTTTATCCCTGGGATGAGTAGGCATAAAATAGCGAGTCTAAGCATTTTTGTTACAAATACTCATAACACAGGTATAAAATGACTAAATGAAGTGCAGTAAGGCAAGGGAGCATCAGGGCACTACATTTAATTTCCAAACTGTTGATCCATTATGGAAAATGCAAAGGTATTCTTGCTCAGTCCAGCAAAACACATTTATAAATAGTCCCGCTAAACGCTAAGCATGTGTTGAAGTGCTGAGCAGGACCAGAGTCCTGGAAATTACCATATTTTCCCAAGTATAGTATTAGGATGGTAAGTCTGTCAACAGAGGAATAGAATATATATACATACCTTTAATTTGCAGAATAGTGTGTAAACTTTCAGAAACATAATATTTTGGCAGCAACATGGAAGGATGTTTTACATACCGCTGTGATGAGAATGTTTTCTCAGCCATTTCCATGACCTTTTATTCAGCATGGACTCTGTACAATAAGCAAAGCAAAAAAAAAAAAAAAGCAGCATATTAGTATAGCATTTTTATGTCACTTCAAATGTTTTCACCTAATTTTTCAATTACATGGGCATATAAGGTGATTGGAATATCTATTGGACATTTTAAATGTGATGAAAGAGGATGTGCTATCTTTCTTGTAAAGAATATATGCAGTAACTGTATTGCTTTTTTGTTTTGTTTGTAGACTGCTCTATTAAGTATGGCTCAAATAATGGGTGAATGACAAGAAAATTATTTTAATACTGGCCGAGTGATAACAGCATGGAAACAGCAAAAAAAAAAAAAAAAAAAAAAAAAAAAAAAAAGAAATTATTACAGTGTAATTACCTGCTGTTGCTGATAATTCTTAGCCTTTAACATAAAACAATTGTCCGTCATGGTTGGTTGTTTTGTTCTTGTAACAAGAATATAAGCTACATGAATTATGAATCCATGTCTGATTCTTGTAGATTTCTCATTTATGAGCAAATGGTGTTGAAAAGGAAACTGCTTCCGCCCACAGGCATTTTTCATACATAGCCTCTCTCACTTCATACTGTAAAACATAAATGCATCAATCATGCTGGGATCTGCAGGAGGGGAAGGTGGTTGTGTGTAAATATCACAGAGGGTTCATGCTTTGGCAAAACCTTTTATGATACGAAATGATGAATGGCTTCGTATTTCCAGAAATTTTGCTGGCAGAGTTCTCGTGCTTGCGGCTTGCTATGTCATCAGCTGTTATGCTGCAAGTTCATAGAATCATTTAGGTTGGAAAAAACCCCTTAAGATCATCGAGTCCAACCATTAACCTAACACTACCAACTCCACCAAGTTTCTATAAGCTGTAAGAAAAAATGATCACTTCTGGGGCTACGGCTACACATAGAAATTGGGAGACCCACATTCTTGTCCACTGTCTTGTATAATTTGAATTAAGTCATTTGGGTGTCCAAATACCTGTAAAATGGTACACATTTCCAGTGAATTCCATATGACTGAGATAGATAAGCACCCTTGCTCTTTTTGTTGTGTTTTCCCACCTGGAAGGTGGAAGTGATACGCAGAGGTATCATAAGTAAAACTGTGTGAAAGATGAACTTGAGTATAGCAGGAAGTAGTCAGGCAAATACATCAGACTTCAGACCTGCTGTTTCCAAAGGAAACCCCTTTGATGTGCAATAGGAATTGTGCATTTAATAGTCATGGGGGATGAGGGTGGTGATCTTTAAATACGTAGGGTCTGATGCATGCCTGCATTACTCTTTCCATGCTCATTTAGATCTGTTGATTAAAGTGGAATTACAGCAGCAGATGATTGGGGTTGCACAATAATAAATCACACTTCTTTGGTTTTTTCCTTGACAAATACAAGCCCATAGCCAATGAGCACCGCAGAACCTGATAGTATATAAAGCCTTACATTGCTTTTATGCTGGGTAAAATTAATTAGGCATGCAGTTTTTACATACGTTGGATTTGTTTGACTATTGTGAAAGGTGTACTTGATGGCTGTCTATGTCATGTTTTCCCATATAAGATAGTTGCTAATGTTGAAAGTAAGGGAAAAAGTAGCTAATCAAAAAAAGGCAGGACAGTCTGGAGGTTGGACAAGTGGGATGATTTGAAAATTCACAGTGGTTTGGCACTGTTGTTCAAGACGGGCGCTGCCTCTTTCCTCCGGCCTGGTTTGGAGCTTAGGAGAGTTCTGGGTTACCTTTACGTTTTTACAGATCACATGCTTTGTTGCATGATGGGTTTTGATCATCAGAAAGAGGTAAGAGAAATCAGGCAAAAACTCTTTTTGTGAAAATTTAATATCTTCAGCTACAAAGGTCAGTCGGTGTGTTAAACTTCATCGCATTGTGCATTCCTCTCCTGTAGGATTGCCCTTGTCGATGTTATCACCGTACCAGATGAGTTGTTTTGCTCTCACAGTCACTGAAGTTAGGTGTACACCCTGCCTGCTTTTCATACACAGTGTGTGTGAGAGAGGGAGAACTCCTTGCGCTGTTTCAGTTCTTCCCAGCTGTCTAGTGAAGTGAAACTCTTTATAGTACGGTTCCTCACTTCAACTTCTCATTGTAGTCTCTGGATCTTAGTGTGTCCGTGCGCTCATGTAATTCTCATCTCTAGCAAGGCTCTTGTCAGCTTCTTCAAAGTTGAAATTTCAGTTCAGTGCTGCATGTGAAAGTCATGCCCCATCCACCTTCCTTTTGAGGTCATTGAAGCCAGATGCATGTGACTGAATTCCCCTTCACTGTGTGAAGATCTCCATCACCAAGCCACACAAATGAGTTGGGGATTGCCTCTTATAGTGATTCAGGGAAAGAACTTGCTTCTGTGGTCAATTCTTCATGGCACTCCAATTTCACCAAAAACTTACTTTGGCGTAGCTATGGAAGGTGTCGAGCTTGAGCTGGGGACCCTGCAGTATTACAAAATTGGGTCTTCATCCTGCTTGTCTATGACAAAAGAAAAGCACATCATCCCAGTTATGACAAGAGGGATGTTTGGACTTAACTTCACAAGCATCGACATGTAATACATTTGCAGGTTGGAAATGTACTCAAGAGTTCTTATACTTCCACCTACTGTGACTGTTGCTGATTGTGATAGTAGCTCCTAAGCAGGCCAGTTATTCTGCAAGAGGGAAAGATCGCCAGCATTTTGATTGCTTAGGTGAGGGAGTCTGCTTCTCCACATTTCTGTACCTGCCAAGTTGCTCAGCATGCTTTGTTCTATTAAAAAATAAAAATAAAAGCATCTAGACTCTTGGGGATTTCTGTTACCCTCTTTTTGGGTGACACCTAAGAGGACTTCTGAGCAAACATGTAGCCAGTGTGGCTTAAGCACGGAGAATTTCCTTTATTTCTTAAAGCTTCGTAGGAGATAGCTTGGTTTAGGTATTGTCTCAACTATGGCTAAGGAAAACCCTCAATACTGTAGTCTGGATGGAAATACAAGAATTAATTCCTGGGACAATACTGATTTAGATCTGTGATCACAAACTAGTTCTGACTCATGGTCTCCTCTGGCAACCACTACTCTGTGTAGCTGTTGCTCACGTTATCTTCACTAAAAATGTATTTGGGAGTCGTGAACTATCCTGCTTATTACTGCTGCTGCTTTCACCTCTACCTCCACCTCCCCTTGGGGATAGGCTGGCTCCGTACAATCAAACATGAAAGTCAAGTACAAGCCAAGAGCTTTGCTGCAGACTGAACTGGTGCAGCACTGGGATTCTGTGGTTGGGAGAGAATTTACCTGATGTCAATACATTCCATTTTGTGTTGGGATGGAAGGGGGATGGGGAATGAATACATCGTTATGGGTACTGTGAGGGCAAAAATGGTCTGGTTCTTTATGGTGGAACATGTGTGCCCTCCCTGTGTGTATTCATACAGGAGGTGTACATGTCAGAGGACTTTCTGTTTCTTGTAGGCTCTCAGGTGTTGATGAAAAGTAAATAATTGGAGGAATTCTGCCACATTCGTTCATTCTGAATAGTGCCCTGTTCTGCAAATAGACCTGTGGTTTTCAGCAGAATTTCTCATGGTGTAATGCACAGGGCAGGCGTGAGACAGGATGGCAGAATACAACCCTGTCAAGTGCACAGTGGATTTTTCCATCTTGTATTTTGGATGTGCCTCAAGGTCTACGTGTGTTTGGAGCACAGCTGTGCTTTGTGCTGCAGAGGCACAAAGAGACACTGCTGCCCTCCAGAAATGACAAACTAATGGCAAAGCAGGTAGTAGGAAGAGGAAGAGAGACAGTAAAAGGAAGTGATTTGCCAAACATCGAGCTTCAGGTTGATGAGATTCAAACTGAGCATCCCCCAGCTCTTGTTCCGTGACTAACCCAC